TTCGTGTCCGAAATGTCTCCCCATTGAGGGGAGCGACCTCCACTGGATAATGTATATGTCGACATGAGTAATAAAAATAGTTAAGTAAAAGCTTTCGGCAACCTGAACTTTTTATTTTTATTTTTTTCTCAAATATGCGAATGTTTTTCATAGCGCTAACGTTTTCTTTTTAACTTTTTTTTATTTAGAGATTGTTAAAAATTCTCACATCTAATTCCTACCTTCTTTCATTGGAAGAAATCATGGCGAAAGTATTCCCCAAAAAATCCAGGATTAAGATATTGAAGATTAAGATATTGAAGATTTAATACTATAAATTAGTACGCATTAGTTATCGCCTATTATTTCAAACAGGTATACAAAGTAATCAACGGATTTTTTTCTGACAATGACTAAAGCCAGTCGAAACCTGAAAATACCTAATAAATAGTCATGAACTGCCGATAGCCCTTCCGTAATTTTAACCCTAACATTAATTAATCCGTTAATTAGAGATAAATATTTTAGACGGGAAGGGACAACTCAACACCGCCAACTCAACACCGCAAAAGGCATTATGTAAAATATGAACCAGTTTTTTGTTTTTAATTATTTTAATAAAGTAAATCGTAAATCATTCTAATCGAATCCACCGAATTTGTCACGGCGGCCTGCACCAAGTGCCTTGAGGATGTAGTGCTGCTTTGGATCAAGAAGGTGGCTGCTGGAAGAGAATATGTCTGGCAACAAGACTATGCACTATGATACACAAGCAGGAGAATACAGTCATGATCGTCAGACAATTTCTGCGACCACATCACCACTTACATCTGGCCACCTAACTCCCCAGACCACAACCCCCTTGATTATTATGTGTAGAGCGCAGTTGAGTGAGAGACCAACAAAGCTCCTTGTGACTGAAGGCAAGGATTATGGCAGCATCCACCAATTTAAACACAGAGACCGCCCAGAAGAGTTGCAGGAGATTCCGAAGTCGTCTGCAGGCCGTGGTTGAAGCCAATGACGATTTTATGGAACGAATTTATTCTTTGATATTTCAAAATATGTTTGTATAATTTTGTATAATATATCTGTTAAAATGAAATGTACGTATTATTTTCATTTTTGCGTAATTTAGACGACAATTTATCCATCGCACCCTCCCATCCCCCCTCTTTCTCTCTCTTTCACTTTATATATATATATATATAGATAGATAGATAGATAGATAGATATTAAAAATGAGGACATCAGCCAATAACGCTACCTTGGTTTCAACCTTCCGGTATCCTCAATCGATATAGCCTAAATGATTTCCTAACTCTTTATTATATATATATATATATATATATATATATATATTGTTCGTTCCATTTCCAGTGAGAATAACTGCAGAAATGTTCCCCTCCCCAAATTTATACACGAATCGTGCAGATGCCTGCTGGGATTTCTTCCTAGCCAATAAGAAGACAGATCACTTCTCGGCCTCATCCGCCATATTTTTGTTCTTACTTGTTTTGAAGTCAGAACGCCGAGATCGCTTGTCTGTTCCCCTTTTTTGTGTTAACATCATTCCTTGCCTACTTTATCGAAAATTTAGTACCAATATAGCCACAACATATTTAAGCGCATTCAATACTTAATCCCATTTTAGATTTCTACCAATTTCTGGTCAGCTGCCTTATATTGAAACGCTTGTTTTACAAAAATATTCCATAACTACAATGGATCAATTAAAAATTTTTTAAATAATTACAGAGTGCGTTTGCGCGTGTTTTTAAAAGATTACCATTCACAACGGAATGCAGATTTTATCGCTGTTGCAATAAGTTGACTTTGTAAGTTACCCCTGAAGATGATCTTGGGAAAGATCGAAAGTACTTGGGTTGACAAAAACTACGGAGTCTTCCTTGATGTATTTCAGCTCAACATCAAGAAACTGGTTAGACAAGTGGATAGGACCAATATAAAAATAAATATCTATATTATTTAATGAAACATGTTTGATTGAAGATATGTTATCTAAATATATATATTATGAAATGGACAAAGCCCGACAATTATTTTTAAGACATTTTTTTATGTTTATACGTTTTTTTTATAAAAACAAATATTTAAGTAAATGCTCTGTTTATAATAAACAGTATTAACGACATTTACCATTTACATTGTCGGGCTTTGTCCGTTTCATGTTCGAAAAAAATTTATATGCGTCCTCCGATAGGAATCGAACATGTATCCTATACGGAAGAGTCATATAGCCTAACGAGCTTTTACCGATTGAGCCACAGAGGAACATTTCGGTTAGCAAGGTCGATTTTACTGTTTTTGAACTACAATTCTCCATGATTTTCTCTCGTACATTCATATCTGCCCGATGCGTATCCATATGTAAACAACTGACGTCAAACATTATGAAATGGATAAAGTCCGACAATTATTTTTAAAAGAACGTATAAACATAAAAAAAATTCTTAAAAATAATTGTCGAACTTTGTCCATTTCATAATGTGTGACGTCATTTGTTTACATTTGGATACGCATCGAGCATATGTGAATGTATGAGATAAAATTATGGCGAATTGTAGTTTAAAAACAGTAAAATCGACCTTGTTAACCAAATCAATTGGTAAAAGCACGTCAGGCTTTATGACGGTCCCGTATAGGATACAGGTTCGATTCCTGTCGGAGGACGCATATTTTCTATGAAAATTTCTCGGACACTCAGACCGGTAAATGTCGTTAATACTGTTTATTATAAACAGAGCATTTATTTAAATATTTGTATCTATAAAAAGGCACGCGGTTTGGGTCAACCTGGGATATATTTGATTGGGTTCGATTCCCCAGATTAATAAGACAGAAAGTTTCCTTCCTGATTAATTCTCTTAGGTGAGATTCATGGTCAGAAAGCGAGCCATTCAGTATGTTTACGTGTTTGGTAACATACCGGCATGTACGGGTCTTTGTCTGGAATGAAATCAGGATACAATACACGAGTATTTGCTTGGTATGAAATCGGGGTATAGCACCCGATTTTTTTTTTTTTTGTTGTTATGAAATTAGGATGCAAAAATTCCCAAATATATCGGAACGGTCGGATGCAAACGTTCTTGTAAACGTCTCCTTGACTTCTGCGCATTTCTAGAAAGAAAGAAGAATATGAATGTAAAAAGAAACTAAAGAAAAAGAAAGAAAGAAAGAAAGAAAGAAAGAAAGAAAGAAAGAAAGAAAGAACATTGAAAAAAACCTTTAAAAGAAACTGAAAAAGCAGGAAAACTTAGAAAGAAAGAAAGAAAGAAAGAAAGAAAGAACACTGGAAAAAACCTTTAAAAGAAACTGAAAAAGCAAGAAACTTAGAAAGAAAGAAAGAAAGAAAGAAAGAAAGAAAGAACATTGGAAAAAAACCTTTAAAAGAAACTGAAAAAGCAAGAAAACTTAGAAAGAAAGAAAGAAAGAAAGAACACTGGAAAAAACCTTTAAAAGAAACTGAAAAAGCAAGAAAACTTAGAAAGAAAGAAAGAAAGAAAGAAAGAAAGAAAGAAAGAACACTGGAAAAAACCTTAAAAAGAAACTGAAAAAGTAAGAAAACTTAGAAAGAAAGAAAGAAAGAAAGAAAGAAAGAAAGAAAGAAAGAACATTGAAAAAACCTTTAAAAAGAAACTGAAAAAGCAAGAAAACTTAGAAAGAAAGAAAGAAAGAAAGAAAGAACACTGGAAAAAAACCTTTTAAAAGAAACTGAAAAGCAAGAAAACTTAGAAAGAAAGAAAGAAAGAAAGAAAGAAAGAACATTGAAAAAACCTTTAAAAGAAACTGAAAAAAGCAAGAAAACTTAGAAAGAAAGAAAGAAAGAAAGAAAGAAAGAAAGAAAATTGGAAAAAAACCTTTAAAAGAAACTGAAAAAGCAAGAAAACTTAGAAAGAAAGAAAGAAAGAAAGAACACTGGAAAAAACCTTTAAAAGAAACTGAAAAAGCAAGTAAACTTAGAAAGAAAGAAAGAAAGAACACTGGAAAAACCTTTAAAAAGAAACTGAAAAAGCAAGAAAACTTAGAAAGAAAGAAAGAAAGAAAGAAAGAAAGAAAGAAAGAACATTGAAAAAAACCTTTAAAAAGAAACTGAAAAAGCAAGAAAACTTAGAAAGAAAGAAAGAAAGAAAGAACACTGGAAAAAACCTTTAAAAGAAACTGAAAAAGCAAGAAAACTTAGAAAGAAAGAAAGAAAGAAAGAAAGAAAGAAAGAAAGAACATTGGAAAAAAACCTTTAAAAGAAACTGAAAAAGCAAGAAAACTTAGAAAGAAAGAAAGAAAGAAAGAACACTGGAAAAAACCTTTAAAAGAAACTGAAAAGAAAGAAAACTTAGAAAGAAAGAAAGAAAGAAAGAACACTGAAAAAAAAAAAAAGAAACTGAAAAAAAAAAAGAAAACTTAGAAAGAAAGAAAGAAAGAAAGAAATAAAGAAAGAAAGAACATTGGAAAAAAAACTTTTAAAAGAAACTGAAAAGCAAGAAAACTTAGAAAGAAAGAAAGAAAGAAAAGAAAGAAAGAACACTGAAAAAACTTTAAAAGAAACTGAAAAAGCAAGAAAACTTAGAAAGAAAGAAAGAAAGAACACTGGAAAAAACCTTTAAAAGAAACTGAAAAAGCAAGAAAACTTAGAAAGAAAGAAAGAAAGAAAGAAAGAAAGAAAGAAAGAACATTGGAAAAAATCCTTTAAAAGAAACTGAAAAAGCAAGAAAACTTAGAAAGAAAGAAAGAAAGAAAGAAAGAAAGAAAGAAAGAAAGAAAGAACACTGAAAAAAAAACCTTTAAAAGAAACTGAAAAGCAAGAAAACTTAGAAAGAAAGAAAGAAAGAAAGAAAGAAAGAAAGAAAGAACACTGAAAAAAAACCTTTAAAAGAAACTGAAAAAGCAAGAAAACTTAGAAAGAAAAGAAAGAAAGAAAGAAAGAAAGAAAGAAAGAAAGAAAGAAAGAAAGAACATTAGAAAAAAACCTTTAAAAGAAACTGAAAAAGCAAGAAAACTTAGAAAGAAAGAAAGAAAGAAAGAACACTGGAAAAAACCTTTAAAAGAAACTGAAAAAGCAAGGAAAACTTAGAAAGAAAGAAAGAAAGAAAGAAAGAAAGAAAGAAAGAAAGAACATTGGAAAAAACCTTTAAAAGAAACTGAAAAGCAAGAAAACTTAGAAAGAAAAGAAAGAAAGAAAGAAAGAAAGAAAGAAAGAACACTGGAAAAAACCTTTAAAAGAAACTGAAAAAGCAAGAAAACTTAGAAAGAAAGAAAGAAAGAAAGAAAGAAAGAAAGAAAGAAAGAAAGAACACTGGAAAAAACCTTTAAAAGAAACTGAAAAAGCAAGAAAACTTAGAAAGAAAGAAAGAAAGAAAGAAAGAAAGAACACTGGAAAAAACCTTTAAAAGAAACTGAAAAAGCAAGAAAACTTAGAAAGAAAGAAAGAAAGAAAGAAAGAAAGAAAGAAAGAAAGAACACTGGAAAAAACCTTTAAAAGAAACTGAAAAAGCAAGAAACTTAGAAAGAAAGAAAGAAAGAAAGAAAGAAAGAAAGAAAGAAAGAAAGAAAGAACACTGGAAAAAAACTTTAAAAAGAAACTGAAAAGCAAGAAAACTTAGAAAGAAAGAAAGAAAGAAAGAAAGAAAGAAAAAAGAACACTGGAAAAAAAACTTTTAAAAGAAACTGAAAAAGCAAGAAAACTTAGAAAGAAAGAAAGAAAGAAAGAAAGAAAATTGGAAAAAACCCTTTAAAAGAAACTGAAAAGCAAGAAAACTTAGAAAGAAAGAAAACTGAAAAAGAAAGAAAACTCATAAAGAAAGAAAGAAAGAAAGAAAGAAAGAAAGAAAGAGCATTGAAAAAAAACTTTAAAAGAATCTGAAAAAGCAAGAAAACTCATAAAGAAAGAAAACTCATAAAGAAAGAAAGAACATTGGAAAAAAACCTTTAAAAGAAACTGAAAAAGCAAGAAAACTGAAAAAGCAAGAAAACTTATAAAGAAAGAAAACTCATAAAGAAAGAAAGAACATTGAAAAAAAACTTTAAAAGAAACTGAAAAAGCAAGAAAACTTAGAAAGAAAGAAAGAAAGAAAGAAAGAACATTCGAAAAAACCTTTAAAAGAAACTGAAAAAGCAAGAAAACTTAGAAAGAAAGAAAGAAAGAAAGAAAGAAAGAAAGAAAGAAAGAAAGAACATTGAAAAAAAACCTTTAAAAAAACTGAAAAAGCAAGAAAACTTAGAAAGAAAGAAAGAAAGAAAGAAAGAACATTGGAAAAAAAACCTTTAAAAGAAACTGAAAAAGCAAGAAAACTTAGAAAGAAAGAAAACTGAAAAAGAAAGAAAACTCATAAAAAAAGAAAGAACATTGAAAAAACCTTTAAAAGAAACAGAAAAATCAAGAAAACTTATAAAGAAAGAAAACTGACAAAGAAAGAAAACTGAAAAAGAAAGAAAACTCATAAAGAAAGAAAGCTAAGAGAGAAAAAAGAAAGAAAGAATAAAGAACATTGAAAAAACTTTAAAAGAATCTGAAAAAGCAAGAAAACTTATAAAGAGAGAAAACTGAAAAAGAAAGAAAATTCATAAAGAAAGAAAGAACATTGAAAAAACCTTTAAAAGAAACTGAAAAAGCAGGAAACCTTATAAAGAAAGAAAACTGAAAAAGAAAGAAAACTTATAAACAAGAAAGAAAGAAAGAAAGAAAAATGTAAAAGAAAAATATACTGAAAAAAGAAAGAATCATCAGAAAGAAAGAAAGAAAGAAAGAAAGAAAGAAAGAAGGAAAGAAAGAAATAAAGAAAAAAAAGAAGAAATGCAGGTAATTGAAGAAAAAGAGTGAATGAAAGAAAGAAAAAGAGAAAGTGGTAGAAAGAGAGACAAGTTGACAGGGAGAAAATGAATGAGAAAGAAAGGGGAACGGGAGTAGTATTATCGTCTTTCATAACACTTTGACCTTTCGAACACGATGAACGCATTGTGTTTGCTATCTAATGTGAAATTGAGATTATTGTCTTCTGTATGAGTTCACCTGAACTCAGCGTTCACTCGACATGGCTGACTCTTTCATAAGAATGAGAAAAAGTAAATAAATAACTAACTAAAAACCTATTGATCTTTTCTTCAGGCCTTTTCAAGTGTCTGCTGCCATACCTACGTGTATCTATCTAAAAGTTGCACAGTGATTGTATACGGATGATAATGGCATTCCATCGATAAACGTTGATATGCAGCTTTTTGTTTTACACCAGGGGGAAGTGAGAAAAAAAAAAAGAGGTAGAGTTTTTCGCAGGTCTTTTTTTTTTTAATAATGTTCACCCAATACAAAGCCCAAGAGCCATTCAAGGTAGTGCGTTACTGTAAGAAAGCAAAAGCGTTAGAGAGTATAGGGCTGAATCAGACGTTAGAAGGAACCAGAAACTCAATCCTAAACAGGAAACAAGAGAGGATCCCGTTTAAAAGATTCAGGGAAGAGTGTGAACCGGACGATAGGCGAAAATTAGTTTTCACTTTACTTGCAGGAGAATTATTTATAACAGCGTATTTCGCGATAGGAGAGGGTATGAAAAGTTCTCAGGGCGAACACTTCCCAAAATCTGAGAAATAAACAAGGAGCAAAACTTGTTTTGGAATATTTTAGTGATCGTATCGAGAACTTGTCAATATTAATAAAACAAATTCCTTTTACGCTACCTACAACCGCATCATAACCAAAAATTAAATCTCATAATTCAAAGAAAAGTTAATATAAAATATCAAAAATAAAGAACATAAACGAAAGAAAAAATTGCAAAACGAAGAAATAAATGAAGAACAATAAGTAGTACAGTGTCACCCGGATGTAAGAGAGTTGTCGGGACCGGAGAAGAAGTCTCTTATATCCGGGTTTCTCTTATATCCGGGTTTGGTCTATTTTGTTTAGGTAAGTATAGGAACACTTTGGGACCAGAGAAAATCTCTCTTATATCCGGGTTTCTCTTATATCCGGGTCTCTTATATCCGGGTTACACTGTATATATATATATATATATATATATATATATATGTAATCAGTCTAGATGTCATGATTATGAATTTTAAGAAAAAGCTTATTTACATACACACTTCCTCCAACCACTCAACCAGCATAACAAGCAATCACGTGGGCATGACAGTAAATAAACATCAACATTAGCCGGAAACAAAAGAAATTGGAAATGGCCAGTTTCCGCTTACGCATCTTTTCTTTATACCCAGTGACTGTATATATATATATATATATATATATATATATATATTAGGTTGGTGCAAAAATAATGACGTAATAATGTCGTTTTTTGACGTATTTTTAACGTCAAAAACGACATTCTTGCGTCATTATTTTTGCATTATATATATATATATATATATATATATATATATATATATATATATATATATATATATATATATATATACAACGTTCCATATATACAACGTTCTATATATACAGCCCTGTAAATGATTAGTGGCCCTTTTCTGAAGCGTGAAAATGACAGTCCTATATTTATACTGTCTGTGCATATATATATATATATATATATATATATATATATATATATATATATGTATATGTATCTATGTATGTATGTATATATGTATAATGAGAAAGTGCCACACAAAACATTTGTGTTATTTGAATTCCCGCGCTATGCAATGATTGTTGAAGTCACGTTGAAGTTTTATATCTCTGACATTTTAGGATTGAAATCTAGCTATATTCTTCTTCCTTTTTTTTTATCTTTTCTTTTTGGGGTTTTAGCCATAGTTTATTTTTGTACTGGCCCATGATTAAAATGGTAACGAAAAAAATTATGCGGTATCCCCTAGAAACTGTAACGAGCATACTTGCGGTGTTAACCAAGGGTTAGGTCTGTTGGCGTTGGGCAACGTTTATTTATTAAACAGTATATGTATCTATTCATTTTCGTCTACCAACCAGAATGTTCAAGAAATCTTATAAACGAAAAATTAGCACTCACTGGCAGAATTTGAAGCTGAGTCCCTCGGGGCAGAGGAAACTACCGTTAAGCCAGGCACACCTTAACCGACTTGCCCATGAAGAGTGGTGCCTTCAACCTCTTGAAGTTTTCTAATATCTACATAAACTCGCATCCAAACGTGAACAACGAGAATTATGTACATATATAGATATATATATATGTGTGTGTGTGTGTGTGTGTCCGCGCGCGCGCGTGTGAATGAATTATTTTCAGATAATAATAATAAATAATAATAAAATCCCTCAGAAGAAGTTTGCGCCTGTATATATATATATATATATATATATATATATATATATATATATATATATATATATATATATATATTGGGAAATTGTATAACAAAGTGGAAAATTAGTCCGGTGAAGTCCTAAAGGACGAAATTCATCACAAGTAATTTTTTCAATTTCGTCATACAATTTCCCCAATATAAAAAAATATATATCGTTATATATATATATATATATATATATATATATATATATATATATATATATATATATATATTCTCTCTATATATATATATATATATATATAGAGAGAGAGAGAGAGGGAGCGACAGAGAGATAAAGTCCTTCCTTCAAACATCTTTTTTGTTATCAGATCATAATCTTAAATATTAAAACTGATTCACACACAGAATTCAATGTTTTTTAATAAACAGAGCAATACATTTTAATACAATCGGAATTAAGATACCATTAAGATACCATATATATATATATATATATATATATATATATATCATACAATCAGAATTAAGATACCATTACGTAAATGTTCATTTTCACCTTATAAAATAAATTTACAGGATTTTTCAAACAGTCAATGGATGATAGATTTTTGAAATGAAAAAATTTATCATCTATTTACTGTTTGAAAAAAAATTTCATTTTTACAAGGTGAAAATGATTATTTACGTAATGGTATCTTAATTCTGATTGTATTTATATATATATATATATATATATATATATATATATATATATATATTTGTTTGTGTGTGTGTGTATATATATATATATATATATAATTTGTGTGTGTGGGTGAGTGGTTGCATTAGTGCGTGTGCATGCATATACCCCTGATCTAGGAGAGACCATTTACCTACACCCAACGCCCGGTTTCACATCAATCGATATTCTCGTCCCACCCTTGTCACCCTTGTTTTCTGCGGCTCCTGTCTTGTTATTCGAGGCTCAATGACTACATAACTCAACAATATCTCTTCGCAGAATTGGGTCTTTTTTTTCCGCGGACATCCATCTCTTTCATCACCAGAAAAAAAAAAAAAAGAAAATTAAAAAAGAGTCGATCACGTGATACTTTCAGCAAAAATTCTTTCACTTCTTTTTCCCTTCATACTTTTTGCATGTCTCCATTCTTTCTTTCTTTTTCTTCCTCTTCCTCTTATTCTTTTTTTTTTTTTTTTGTCCATCCCTTTCTCTTTTTTACCTTCTTCTTTCTCTCCTCGCCTTATTCCTGTTATATATACTTCCAGCTTAACGTTTTCACCTTCTCTTTTATCTTTCGTATCTTTGCCTTCGTTAACGAAACAGAAAATTCATGTATTCATTAATTTTTAAGCCACGCTTTATTAATGGAAGCCGAAAACCAAACGATTACCACCGCGTAACATAAAGTCCGCACCAAATTTGCACATAGAGATCATCAACAGCATCATCGTTATTAATGTTATTATTTTTGTTGTTGTTGTTGTCATGACAACTCGATCGAGAAAACTGATAAACGTATGTAAAGAATCAATTATTTGAAAATATCCTCTTTGATCGACAGAGAGCTGTTCAAATACATGAGAAAAAGAAATGACTTTTATCAAGTCCTTCCTAACGGGAAGGTGCTTGAAGGTAGTTGTTAACGGCCAGTTCTCCGAGGACCAGTTGATCGACGCCGGCGTCTGGCAGGGGCCGCTTCTTGGTCTGACTCTCTTTCTGCTTTGCATAAAGGATGCGCCAAAGATTCTAGATCTTTTGTGACGAAGTATGCTAATGATACAAAGGAAGATATGGGTGCCCTTCCAAATCTATACATAACCAGATCCTAGCTGCTGATCTCTCCTCTGACCGAGTTCTAACAGCTCAGTGGCTGGGGGTGGCGCTGGTCATATGTTTTTGCCTGTTCACTCAGAGGAGCCACTTGAGCAACTATTCAGACTTATATATATATATATATATATATATATATATATATATATATATATATATATATATATATATACTTGCTGGACGAAATGGTCTGGCGTGAAGTTATGTATAACAGCGATTGGGAACGAGGCTGCGCAAAAACAATGCTATTTACTTATTAGTTAATTTAATTTAAATTTCTATCTATTATAATTAATTATGTGAGTACATTAATTATACCGTTGCTCCTTCTCAGACTCGCGTTCCCAGTTGACATGAAGTGGAAAAACTATACTGAATTTACTGCTGGATCATTTGCAATGAAATTTGGTTCACTGGGTCGTGCAAGACAATTTTTCTCTCCATAATCTACCTTACATATCTATAAGTCTGCCATTCGTCCATACTTAGAATATTGCTGCCACATATGGTCCGGTGCTGCTGCTATTGACTTTGAGCTCCTTGATAAAATCCCCAAAAGAATCAGCTACATATTGGCACGTTTTCTGGCGTCTCGGCTTCAGTCACTATCTCACCGCCGTAAGGTTGACACCGGGTACCGTTTCTATAAATATTTTCATGGTAATTGTTCGGATGAGTTCTTCGCTATTTCGCCCAGTTAACTGATCTTTCTACCACAATTAAGGACTTATTACTAACACTATTTTATTTAGTTTCTTGCAAATAGTTTATATCATATTGTCGGATTGAAGAATCCGATAGCCGAGTTCGAATTCCAGTCGAATCCATTACATTCACTTACGTGTTAATACCCTTGGG